TTTGAAGCTGCTAATAATTACAATATCCTGTATAAAATTCATTTATGTTATTACATTCATTCCTTTTGAAGCTGCTAATAATTACAATATCCTGTTAAAACTCCGAACATAACCAACCAATTGGTTTCGCTGCAGAATTAACAACTGTTGTCCCAGTCTCATTTTTGCTTTCCTTGCATTCCTCTCTTCATTGCCCCCATATTTTCCAAGGTAACTCAAAACGTTCATGATCATGTGACTTTACAAATGTTTGGATTATCATTTTTCTTCTTAACTTTTTTCTTTTTTAGCCTTTCTGATTTTATCTGCTAACTTTTCATCTCGTATTGTATTTAATTTCTGCAGATTATTGCATTATTTTGGTAAAAATCTACTACTTTTTTCTGTCTCTCAGAAGCAGTAGTTTCACGCCAGCAGGTATAAATTTTAATTTAATTCCTATATATTTATAACCTTTATTTCTTTTTATGCTTTTGCTAGTTAACATCTCCATTAATTTGAAATCTACTTTACATGTAATGAAAATCTTCCACGTAGCTAGAAACTTGTGAGCAATCTGTGGAGAAGCGTTTCACTGGGCACTGAAAACAAAAAAAAAGCCTAGGTGCCTCCCCTTCTGCTTCATTCTAAGGTGATCTGGGGAAAGCACTAGTCATTCAAGGAAGGTACATTTTCTTCTGCAATTAATTTGTACAGTTGATTTATATTTTGCAAGCACTGAATTTCCACATAACAACATCTTCCCCTTTTTTTTTTTTAGTTGCAATAAACGTGTGAATATATACACATACGTGCACGCACGTATGTGTGTATGTATATATATATATATATATATGCTACTACTAGTACTTTCTATCCCTGCCTACTTCACATTCATTTTTGTTCTCTGAAAAGTCAAAAGCTTCAATTTTTTTTTTATCATTTTAGTAATTAACATGGTTTTTTTTTGGGACAATATTCTCCCACCTCTTCCAAAGGATTCTAGCTATTCTCATTTTTTACTTTGTTGCATTTTGGTTTCTACTCTATGTAATGAAAATATTTTATGTAGGTGGAAAGTACATTTGAGTAATCTGTGGAGAAACCTTTCGTCAGGCGGATTCTTTCTTTTCTCATTCTAATAAGTCATTCGGAGAAAGTAGTTATTTAAAACAAGGTATTTTTTCTTCTTTCATTTTTTTGTTGAATAAATGATTTAACAAACCATTTTCTAACATATTTTTTGTCGTGGATTTTACTCTTCCGCTTCCATAGGATTAAATTCTAGATGTTGGTTATCTGCTTACTGCATTTTGGTTTCTACTTTAATATATATGTAATAAAAATTGATCTTGGAAGTATAGCTAACCGGATAGTACGTGCTTAGGAGCTATCTGTGGAGAAGCTATAACAATATTGTTATCCTTTCGTTCGTCGCTTAGAGTCATTTAGGCGACGAAAATTAACGGGTGCAGAAACCTCTCTCAGCAAATCAACTGTTTTCACTGCAGAAGCCTTTCTCAGCGAATCAACTGCTTTTACTGCAAAATTGAAAATTGCTGTTCTAGCTATCATTCCACTTTCCCTGCCTTGTTCTCTTCATTGCCTCTTATTTTCTAAGGTAAATGATAGCAACTGCTCTCATTGCAAAATTAACAAGTTTTTCTCCCCATTTTTATATCTACTAACTTGCCATTTCGCATTTTATTATCTATTTGATATGCAGATAGGCATCATTTCATTTGAGATATAATCGACTGCATTTTCTGCCTTCTCAGCGTTAGAAGCACAAGTTTCAGGCCAGCAGGTATAGTTTTTTAATTCCCATATTTTCTTCACATTCATTTTTCTTCT